GCGTGGTGCAGCACCAGTCTGCTCTGACTGGTCTGCCTGTCGGCGTGGTGCAGCACCAGTCTGCTCTGACTGGTCTGCCTGTCGGCGTGGTGCCAGTCTGGTTAGGATTAGGTTGCCTATCCCTAGGCTTCCTGTCTGTGTGTTGCAGACACTTCCAGCTGGCCAGAGTGTCTCTCCACACTGGGGTACAAGGAGCTTGGGTGCTTGGGAGGGCACAGTATCTATTGGTGTGATGAGTGCTGGAGAGCAGCTGCCAGGCCCTGTATTGATTGATCGGCATTCAATATTTTAATCAGTAGGGAGAAACTGCGAATCCTGAGACGCAGGTTCACCTGGAGAAAGAGGATAAGTGTTGTTTCCCTGTTTTCTGATTCCATAACTGGAATAGCCTGGTGACTAAGAAAACTAAGTCTTGAGAGCCTACAGCCTGTGTTAGGCAAGCATCTCTGTTAACCCATCTCTCAGTTAGCCCCGTATGTGTCTCTCTCTCTCTCTGGATGACCCCATCTGTCTGTGTGTGTCTCTCTCTCTCTGGGTGACCCCATCTGTCTGTCTGTGTGTCGCAGGGGAAGATGGAGCTGCAGGAGACCATCAAGGTGTGGAAGCAGAGGACACACATCATGCGCTTCTTCCACGAGACGGAGACACCAAGGCCCACCGACTTCCTGTCCAAATTCTACTCGGGTCACGACCCCTGAGTGCCCCCTGTTCGCCGGCTGTAAATACCCCCGCGCTCTCTCGCCCTCCCCCTCCGCCGGCCTGGTGCTGTTCACAGCAGCCTGTCTGGGTGTGGAACCTTCAATAAAACATGACGAGTTCGAGAATAAGATCAGGAGTAGCCCGAGTTTGTTCCTGGTGTGTGTGAATAGAGTCACCCAGAGCCCCACACTGACACCCTTCATCATCATCACTCCTGTAGAGCAGCTGAACCCTCAGTCTGTAACAACACGTCTGCACCTCTGTGTCCTGTGTCAGGGTGACAGTGGGGTTACAGACAGAGACTGGACACTGGAGCTGGAGAGAGGATAGAGTCACCCAGAGCCCCACACTGACACCCTTCATCATCAAACAGTCTACTATCAAATAACAGAAACTCTACTTGATTAAAAATAGGAAATAAATAGAAAAAAACATTCCTAATATTCCACTTTCCTTAAAAGAAAAGTCCATGTAACACAGTGAAGACTTAGACAATATTTTATTATTGAATAATCTCGTTGCTATGTACATGCAGACTGGAGTGAGGTATTGATTAGAGTCTGGCGCTGCCCACACACACTCTGGAATCGCACAGCAGGAGGAGGGACAGGAAGTGGACAGTGCGGGGGGACAGAGAGAGAGGTGTGATGAGGGGTTGTTGTTGACCCCCGTTTCTGCTCCGGTCTTCTTTCAGATCATGCTGTCTTCGGGGGGTCTCTGTCTGTAGTGTCTGTCCTGTCTCTCTCTCTGGGTACCGCCAGCACAGCCTACAGAGAGACGGAGAGGGACACTGTTATCACACTCCTGTCACAGTTTCCACACTCGCCCTCATCTGCTTTCATGTCTGAATACACTGGAATTGGTGGAATTAAACCACGAGTGTATTAACTGCAGAGTGTTAATTACAGTGTGGGAATGTGTTAGTTACAGTATAAGAATGTTAGTAACTGTGAGAGAGTTATTAGCAGTGTAAGTGCCTGCTTATCGGTGAGAGAGAGTATCTGTATCTGTGCAGGTGTGTCAGTAGCAGTGAGAGAGAGTATCTGTATCTGTGCAGGTGTGTCAGTAACAGTGAGAGAGAGTATCTGTAGCTGTGCAGGTGTGTCAGTAACAGTGAGAGAGAGTATCTGTAGCTGTGCAGGTGTGTCTTCCAGTACAGGTTTGGGGTGTAACACCATTAGGCAGCTGTTCATTACCTCTCCTGCAGGCTCAGTCATCATCATCGTCATCCTCAGGGACGAAGATGTCGTGCTCCTCCAGCAGGGCGGCGAAGTTCTTGCTGATCAGGGTTCCCACATACAGGAAGGGAACGACAATCACAGAGATCCGCACCAGGCCGAAGGAGATCTGAGAGAGAGAGGCGCCTGTGTTAACACAGCAGATACCACTGGGGGCACTGACAGGGACAGGCAGTGTGAAAGGAGAGAGGGGAGTATAATTACTGCACCCTTACTGTCTGCATCACGTCTGTCAGAGGGGGAAACTCATCGCCAAAACAGTGGTCTCACAGACAGAGCCTGCAGGCTGATCCACTCCAGGGTTTACAGTGCTGTCAGTCAGACTCCCAGTGC